CCCCCTTCTTTGGCCATGCCCCTGGCACCCGGTGATGTATAAGTGGTTGGGGGTCACCACAACATGGGGAACTGTATTATGGGGTCGCGGCATTAGAAAGGTTGAGAACCACTGAACTTGAGTAAAGGTGGTAGAGCACGCCCCCATGCACTTGCTGGCTTTTGTGTTCAGGGGCCGATGGTGTCAGGCATCACCCTGCCCTGTGGCAATGGCACCCTCGCCCTTCCCCCTGTCTCACCCCGTAGGGCAAGCTTCCTGTTCACTGCCCCACCAATCAGAGACCCCCTGGATCTCCCCCAATCCTGCCCAGCCCCCATAGGCAACATTGCTCCACGAGCAACTTTGAGGTGGCCATGCCCACCCCGGCCATGCCCACCCAGTCTGCCATGACCACTGCAACTACACCCACCCAGTGAGCCACACACCCCTGCCCCCCCCCGAGGGCATCACAATGCTGATGCGGCCCTGTCACTTTGCAATAAATAAGTGGGTTTTGGGTTGTGGTTTGGGCACTCGGTCTCTGCCATTTGTTTAGGTGCGGGAGAGCCGCGGCGGCTTCCTCAGCACTGGCTCCAGCTCCCACGACCCACCGCAGCCAGACATTGTGAGCCAAGCGGCGGGAGCTGGCGTCGCCCAGAAGATCCCGGCGTTCCTGCCGCCGCCACCCCCCACTTCAGCTGGAGCTGGCGCGAGACCTCGCCTGCTAGTAGCAGTAGCAGCCGCCACCGCTGCCCCAGTCCGCTGCTGCCGCCCCAGCCTGCCGCCCCGCCCCAGCCTTCTCCTCGGCCTCCTCAACCTTTTCGTCTGCCGCATCGGCCGCTTCGCTGTGCCTGGAGGCCGCCGCCGCCTCGTCCCCGCTGGCCGGCATGTCCCGCGTCCCGCGTGGCGGCGACCCACAGCCCAACTTTCTGCCGCTGGAGAGTGTCGGCCTGCCCCACCAGCAGCCACAGCCTCCCCCGTGGCGGCAGGCCTCACCGCAGCCGCTCGCCTGGGCAATCCGGCCCAGCGCTCAGCCAATCCTCACTGCCCCGTGTGTGGCTTCCTTTTCCTTCTTCTCCGTTATCATCGCCGCCGCCGCCTCGTCGTTTTCCTCGGGCTGCGCAGTGGGGCCTTCTCCAGTGACCTGGGCTCCCCGCGTGACTTTGCCCGTTGCCTTGGCGGCAACTGCCGCCGCTGCGGTGACGGCCAGCAACAAGAGGAAGCGCGACAATAAGGCTAGCACCTTCAGCTTCAATTGTATGCTGTTGCTGGGTCCCGCCGCATTGGGGAACGGGCCCTTGGGGAGGCTGTCGAGCAGGCCAGAGGAGCCGGCCTATACTGGCACCCCATGGAAGAAGACGAATTACAGTCCCGCCGTGGCTGGGTTGACTTTACACAATTTTTGGATATCCGGAGAAGCCATTGATGAGCTGCACGAGAGGTACTTGGAGAAGTTGACCCAGCTCTTTGAGGAACATAAGGCCAAGTACGGGCTGCCCCAAGACAAGTACCTAAAGATCGCCTAGCCGGCCACATTGGACCAGCCTGGGACACAGAGGGGCAATATTTTTTAGAGAATGTTTGTTGTGGGTATGTGTATGTATGTAGATGAATGGTGGCCCTGTTACGTATAAATTTTATTATTGTATTTAGGGCATATGAATGTGAATATTTTTATTTTTATGTATATAAATTGAGTGTGAATGTGTACTGAGTGTTTGGGGTATGAGAATGGTGGAGTTGGGGGCGGAGCCTGGTACCCCCTCTGCTGATTGCAATAGCAAAAGTAGGGGGGGCAGGACTTAACCTTGGGCTTGGTCTGTATGGAAAGCTAGTCCGGTCAGGAAGGGAGAAGGTTGGTGAGGGTGGGGGTACTCCGGGGAGGAGAGAAGGTTGGAGCATCCCGGTTATGACTGGGATGGGCAGATATCGCAGGAGCCGAGGGGCAGGCCATCTTTGGGGAACGAGGATTCGCTATATTAGAGCGATTCCTTGTTCTGGCCCCTCAAAAGGCTCATCCTGTAGTACTGGTGACAGGGGAGTACAGGGCCCTAGTTGTAGGCTGCTGTTGCTTAATGCCAGGTCCATTGTCAACAAAGACTCCTTGTCCGTGATTTAATATTGGACAGCGGGGCGGACCTGGCATGTATAATCGAAACCTGGCTGGGCCCTGAGGGGGGTGTCTCCCTCTCGGAGATGTGCCCGGACGGGTTTGTGGTGCTTCATCAGCCTCGACATCAGGGCAGGGTGGGGGAGTGGCAGTCATCGCTCGGAAGTCCTTGAGTCCTCGTGGGATTCCTGCCCCGGAGGTTGTTGGGTGTGAGTCCCTCCTATTGAAGTTGGGTTCACAGGTTCAGTTGGGCTTGCTGCTGACGTACCTACCTCCCAGCTGCGTTGCAACAGCCCTGCCTGCATTGCTGGAGTCAGTAGCCGGGTTGGCGGTGGACTTCCCCAGACTTATGGTACTGGGGGACTTTAACCTACCATCACTCGGCGATCGCTCAGAAGCGGCGCAGGAGTTCATGGCAACCATGGACCTGACCCAGGTAATCCAGGATCCGACTCATAGGGGTGGTCACACACTCGACCTTGTGTTTCTCTTGGGGCAATGGAGACATGATCTGGAATTAGGGGGAATAGAGATCTCACCCTTGTCATGGACAGATCATTTCCTATTGAGGCTGGACTTCAGAGCATCATTCCCCCATCGCAGGGAGAGGGAGCCGACTAGGTGGTTCCGCCCCAGGCGCCTAATGGACCCAGATCGGTTCCAGGAGGAGCTTGGGGAAATACCTGACTCCCTTGTCCACAACTCGTCCGGGTCCCTGGTTGGGGCCTGGAATGGGGCGGCGTCCGGGGCCCTGGATCGAATTGCGCCTTTGCGACCTCTCTGTGGTGGTGGTCCCCGGAGGGCGCCTTGATTTACTGAGGCGCTCCGGGAGATGAAGCGCCACAAGAGACGTCTAGAGCGATGTTGGAGGGCCAGTAACTCTGAATCTGACCGATCACTAATAAGAGCCTATCTTAGGACTTATTTAGTGGCGATAAGGGCGGCAAAGCGTGTTCACTTTTCCGCACTTATTGCGTCCGCAGAATCTCGCCCGGCCGCCCTGTTTAGGGTGACCCGCTCCCTTCTTAAAGTGGAGGAGGCGGAGGAACCCTTGCAGGGGAGAGCTGAGGAGTTTGTTCAGTTTCTCTCGGACAAAATCGCTCAGATTCAGAGAGACTTGGACTCCGACTGGACAGTGCCAGCCGAGTTGCCGGGGGCTGGTCTTAGTCATGTTATCTGGAGCGAGTTTGAGCCTGTGACCCCTGATGAAGTGGACAAGGCCGTGAGGGCAATGAATGCCGCCACCTGTTTATTGGACCCGTGCCCCTCCTGGCTGGTTTCTGCCAGTAGGGAGGTGACACGAGGCTGGCTCCAGGCAATAATCAATGCCTCCTTGATGGAGGGGTCTTTCCCGCAACCTTTAAAGGAAGCGGTGGTGAGGCCCCTCCTCAAGAAGCCTTCCCTGGACCCAGCTGTTTTGAAGAACTTTCGTCCTGTCTCCAACCTCCCCTTTGTGGGGAAGGTTGTAGAGAAGGTGGTGGCGTCCCAACTCTTGCGATCCTTGGATGAAACTAATTATCTGGACCCTTTTCAATCTGGTTTCAGGCCCGGCTACAGCACTGAGACTGCTTTGGTCGCACTGACCGATGACCTCTGGCGAGCCTGGGATAGGGGTCACTCCTCTATCCTGGTGCTTCTTGACCTCTCAGCGGCTTTCGATACCATCGACCATGGTATCCTTCTGCGTCGTCTCGGAGAGGTGGGGGTGGGAGACACCATATTGCGGTGGTTCTCCTACCTCTCTGACAGGTCGCAGTCGGTGCTGGCGGGCGGACAGAGATCGACTCCTAGGCGCCTCGATCATGGGGTGCCTCAGGGCTCAGTCCTGTCCCCCCTCCTTTTTAACATCTACATGAAACCGCTGGGTGAGATCATTCGGCGACACGGGGTGAGATATCATCAGTACGCGGATGATACCCAATTATATATCTCCACCCCGTGTCCTTTCAGTGAAGCAGTCGATGTGATGTGCCGGTGCCTGGAAGATGTGAGGGTCTGGATGGGGGTGAACAGGCTTAGACTCAACCCTGACAAGACCGAGTGGCTCTGGGTCTTGCCTCCCAAAGGTCAACTGGATGGTCCATCATTAGTCCTGGGGGGGGGCAAATTTACCTCCCTCAGTGCAGGCACGCAACTTGGGTGTCCTCCTGGACTCACAGCTAAATTTGGAACAACATCTATCGGCTGTGGCCAGGGGGACCTTTGCCCAGGTTCGCCTGGTGCACCAGTTGCGGCCTTATCTGGACCGAGAGGCTTTACTCACAGTCACTCATGCCCTCGTCACCTCAAGACTGGATTACTGTAATGCGCTCTACATGGGGCTACCCTTGAAGAGCGTTCGGAGGCTGCAGTTGGTTCAGAATGCAGCCGCGAGAGCGATTGTGGGCGCGCCAAGGTACGCCCACGTGTCACCTATCCTCCGCGAGCTGCACTGGCTTCCTGTGGGTCTCCGGACGCAATTCAAGGTGTTGGTTATCACCTTCAAAGCCCTTCATGGCATAGGGCCAGGTTACTTACAGGACCGCATTCTGCCGCACAGCTCCCAGAGACCGGTGAGGTCCCATAGATTGGGCCTCCTTCAGGTCCCGTCGGCCAGACAATGTCGGCTGGCGGGCCCTCGGGGAAGGGCCTTTTCTGTGGTGGCTCCGACCTGGTGGAATCAACTTTCCCCCGAGGTTCGAACAACTCCCACCCTGTCGGCCTTTAAGAAAGCCGTTAAAACTCTCCTGTTCCGGCAGGCCTGGGGCTGATGTCCCGGGGGGGGGGCGGGACATGATCAGACTTGCGGTATGATTGAATTATTTTATTGTTTTATTCTCGATGGTTGTTTTAATTTTGTATGCCGCCCTGAGTCCTTTGGGATTGGGCGGCATATAAATAAATAAATAAATAGATAGATAGATAGATAAATAAATAAATAAAAGATTCGCCATCACCCGTATAGGATCTTCTCCTAGAGCAGAGGGTTGGACTAGAAGATCTCCAAGGTACCTTCCAACTCTTGTTATTCTGTTATTCTATCTTAAAGTTGTCAAAGTTGAGAAACACTGCATTATGCCAAGAGACAGCTCTGAAGAGACAATCTGATGCTGGAAAAGGTGGAAGGAAAACGAATAAAAGGACAACCAACAGCAAAGTGGATGGATTCAATTATAGAAGTGATGGGTGCTTCATTAGAAGACCTGAAAGGACCGGGTTCTGAGGAAGGTCTAGGGAAGTCGGTCAGAGTCTACTTGATGGCACATAATCAGTAGCAGTCATGAGCTAAGCATTAATTCTGCACATTGCATTCATTCTGTTTCTTTATATCACCTTAGAAGGCTTAAAAATCGCACCCGCTCACTCAGCAGCAGCAATCTTCACTTCCCTAGATAAGCCCTTGGAAAGTAGCATAATGAAAGCCGAAATGTGACTCATGCTTCATCATTGCACACAGTAATCCAATTTAAAATGAACTTCCCAGTCTCTCGGTTTTCCCATTTTGTTCTCATAGAACAGGTCTGGAGAAAAAAAATAAGAGGTATCTTTCCTTGCAGATTTTTTTAAAATAATAGTTCCTTGTAGGCAACTGCTGTTTTTCTTCCAGCTCTCTGCCATTTGTGTTATTTGGGGGTGGCAAAAAACATCTGCAAGATGCAGAAGGAGCTCTGAGTATTTGTTGTGTGTCTTGACTTGTTCAGAACAAGATCGGCCTGGAAGAGAAATAGCCAAAAAAATAATCTTTGCCAGGAGTTCTTGGCTACTGTAATGGAGACTGTTGAGACATGTTGGGGATGTTCAGCGTCTTGTTTTAGAGTGGCAGGAAGCCCCATTGTTGGTTTTCAGCCGTTAGGATTAGAAGGGATTTTGAAGTGTGCCGGAAGGAGCCGCAAAACTGCAAGTTGTCGAACCCTGTTTGGAAATGGAAAAAAAAACCCCACCAATCGCTCCATCATCTCTTTACATCTGCACAGAATATATTACAAGGCGCTAACAAGCTGATGTCAGCATAATAGGATCCTGGTGAATTACATCTCTGGGGTGTTTTCCTTGTCCTTGCATCACAGATGAGCAGATGCCTCCTTCATATTTAGGACTCAGTTTGGTGAGGTAAAAGTGCACACTTGTTTACAGCAGCCCGTACGAAAGCAATGTAGTTTGCGGTATGTGGCAACCTACGTATGGAAATCTTTCCTGGTGTTTCCAAACCGGAGCACCATCCAAGGAGATGTCTCGGATCGCCTCTCCTGATCCTTGCAGGATTTGAACCCTTGCAAATGAATAAAAAGGAAAATCTTTGGCCCATCTGCAGAAAGGTAGGGGGTGGAAAAGTGGGGGTCAGGGGAAGACGTGGGGTGTTTTTTGAGGATATATGGGTCTTCAGCTATCCAGCTGTAATGCAGTTGGTATTTTTTGCTGTGTATTCAAAGAGAAAGAGCCACAAATTTGTTGGATTGTATAGAAAATCAGAGAATCACAGGGCTGGAAGGGACCTTGGAGGTCTTCTAGTCCAACCACCTGCCCAAGGCAGGAATCCTTATACTATCTTGGTCAAATTAATCAGTGGAACAACCTGCTTCCAGAAGCGGTAAATGCTCCAACACTGGAATTTTTTAAGAAGAGACTGGACAGCCAATTTTCCAAAATGGTATAGGGTTTCCTGCCTGAGCAGAGGGTTGGACTGGATGACCTCCAAGGTCCCTTCCAACTTTATTATTATTATTATTATTATTATTATTATGGATCATCGCACAGTCAGCCAGATGTTGTTGTTGTTGTTGTTGTTATTATTATTATATGGTTGTCCAGTCTTTTTTCTTGAAAACCTCCAGTGATGGTGCGCCCGCAACTCCAGGAGGCAAGCTGTCCGATTGATTAATTTTTCTCACTGTCATGAAATTTGTGCTCTATATCACCTCCACAACTGGGTGACTAAGAGAGAGAGAGAAGCTTGAATATTCTAAAATTTAGCACTCTGGGCCTTCACATTCAATCAAAAGCCATCTGGTTGGTGGTTCCACTTAGGTGCCTCTAAAATGCAGGTAGTCCTCGACTAACGACTATAATTGAGCCCAAGATTTATGTTGCTAAGTAAGACATTTGTTAAGTGAATTTTGTCCCATTTTGCGACCTCATAGTTGTTAAGTGGATCACTGCAGTTGTTAAGTTAGTAACATGGTTGTTAAGTGAATGTGGTTTACCCATTGACGTTGCTGGTCAGAAGGGTGCAAAAAAATGATCACATGACTCCAGAACACTGCAGCCATCATAAATATGAGTCACTTGCCAAGTGTCTGAATTTTGATTATGTGATCATAGGGATGCTATAACCGTCGTGTGAAAAATGGTCATAAATCACTTTTTTCAGTGCCGTTGTAACTTTGAACAGTCACTAAACAAACTGTTGTAAGTTGAGAACTACCTGTCATTTGAGGTTCCTTATATTAAAGCCTGAAGTTGCTAATAGCTGCGTGGGGGTGGATGAGGAAAGACTACTGTTAATGTTTCTATACTGGCTTTCAACCTCCATTGATCCCAAATAGTTCACGATGGTAAACAGAATGAACTTATAACTACTGTGGAGAATTTTGGAAGCCATATTTTTATTTTTTCTTTCTTTTCTATTTTTCCACAACTTTTTCCCCTTTTTCTTGCTTTGTCTTTCCTTTCTTTCTCTTTTTTCCTCCATTACTTTATATTAATGTGCATCTTGCTCCCTTCTTAACTATCTCTGTCAGTTTTAAATTGGTTCTAGTGTTACTATTGTTTTAATGTTTCATATTGATTTTTATTGAGTGTACGTTTAATTCAAAAAAATAATTTAATAGTAGTGTTAGTTGTTCTCTTCTTTTTGTAAAGTTTCAATACAAATCCTATACGAGATGTTAGACAAAATCTGGTTATGGTACATCAGTGTTTCTCAATCTTAGCCATTTTAAGATGTGCGGACTTCAACTTCCAGAATTCCCCAGCCAGTATCAAATGAAAACAGGGAGCTCACTGGAAAAAAAGCTGGAAAATTGAACAAAAGTTTTATTTGCAGCTTAGACCAGCCAAGCCTGACGTAAGTCTTGCAAGACTGCAACTTCTTACAAATTCTGATTGCCGTGCCATTTGCCTTTTAGCAAGGTTTAATTCCATACTGGGAATTCAGTTCTATACGTGGTAAAGTTGCCAGGTTTGAGGACTACTGACTTAACTGCAATCTGGATTTGGCTCAGAGCTTTTAAGTATTTGTAGAAACTGAACACAAAAAGATCTGAATCTCCTTGCAAAAAAATCGCACACTTCAACTGCTGCCTGAAAAGGCCGGAGTTGGGATTTTCATTAGTCATATTTTCCACTCTAGTGATATTCAGAGCATAGCATGTTTAGATTATCCTGACTTGCAAGCAGGACTATGAAGCAATATTTAACTGCAATTGTTCTGGGTGTTAATTCTCCTAAAGTAGCTCATAATTACCTCACAATCTTAAACCCTCAATACATAATATCAGAATTCATAAGAGCATCAATACATTAGTTATCTGAAGTCTTCTGAAAAGCTATTAGTAGTACAGGTAGTCCTCAACTTACAACCATTTGTTTAGCAACTGCTCCGGTAGTAACTGAACAGTAACCAAAATCAGTGACTTATGTCAAGTCCTCACTCTTATTACCATTACAGCATCCCCATGGTCATATGATCAAAACTCAGATGCTTGGCAACTGTCACAGGCTTATGACCGTTGCAGCATCCCTGGGTCATGTAAAATCAGAGGCAATTCACTCAACAACTGCCTTGCTTAGCAACGGAAATTCTGCTCCCAGTTGCGGTCATAAATCGAGGATTACCTGTTAGATGGTTTTCACGCATATTGGAGACAGAGCAAACAGGGAACACCTTTTGATATAAGTACGACCCCCCTCCCCCCTACACACATGTTTGAATGATTTAATATTAACTCTGTAACATGCTTTCCCCCCAAGACAAAATTAATTTACCATGCTGCACGTAAGATGGCAATTCTGGAAAACAGCCAAGAAGGGAGATCCATGCCCAGATGGCTTTTTTCCTTCAACCCAACCCACGTCTCCCCACGTTATGGCTGTCAATCAACTGGGGTAACCAGTGATACTGGTTTTTCTGCTTTGACTGACTGAGGATTGAGCTGAGCTGAGAAGACAGGAAATGTTAAATGCACAGCTTCTATTAAAATGCAGGGAATATACCCATTAATCATTTAAACAGCCTCAGGATTCTGATTAAGTTGCATTGGTAGATTCTCTTCAGCAATTGACACTTAAAATATTCCAATCCATTTTTCCTCCTTCATTGGGTTTGTTGGTTAAGGCAGGGTGCCAAATTCTGCTGGTGAAACTATTTAGGTCAAATGCTTAGGGTGGGGTGGGAACTGACTAGCAAACCCCAATTCTAAAATTCCCTTGATTAACCCTTTCAGCAAAGGTGGATGGCAGGGGCATTTGTCCCCAATAAAATTAATCATTAAGAAGAAATGCTTCATGTTCTCACAAACCTGTATTTAAGATTTCTTATTGGGAATTTTTGAAAAGTTTGTCATTAAATCTACATTGTCCATATCCTAAAGAACATTAGAGTCTGAGCTGAACTCCTTGAGATTTCTGATAACTAAGTATAATACATATTTTGTAATAAATTAAGGTGACATGCTGCATAAAAGATATGTAAGGATTTTTTTCTTCCAAATTGAGATTTTTGATAAGGCTAGTTCAGTAAAATGTCCAATTAAAGCAAAGCTTTGCTCAAAGACAATTAAGAGTATAAGCTGTTAAAACAGTAATTGTACCACACCCAAAATCTTTCTGTATAATGGATGTGTGCATAGTTTGAGGGAAGTATTACTGAACCAAATGACAGTCTGGAATCTGCCTGGTTTGATTAATGTTATGTTCACATATTTTAATAAGTAATAAGTGTATTTTTAGAAAGCGGGAATCTTCACATAAATAGACCAGTGGATTCTTTTTTTTCCCTTCAGATGAAGCATCTTCCTTAGCATGTGATCAGATCCATGACTGTATGTAGTCAGTGCTCAATAAACATGGAACAACATTTTCAGTTATAGTAATTATATTTTAAGAGCCCAAGGACCAGGTTTTGCTGTTTTTACATCTTGCCACTGCCTTGGAAAAAGAGGGCATTTAAATTTTTATTCCAAAAATATATATATTAATTTTTATCTGCTACTTTCAATGCCTCTTAAAAGTTGGAAACCTCCATGCTTAAAGCTAGACCAAATCTTGGCAACTTTTAAGGCTTGTGGACTTCAAGTGCCAGAATTTCTCAGCCAGCGTGAAGCTGTAAAGGGAGACTAAAATTCATGGTCTCTTACTTTCTAGTCCAGATCTTCCCTGCTTCACCAAATTGGCACCCCAATTATTAGATGAACATTGTTATGTCATATGGATTTTAAAAGGGGGGAAAAAGAACAAGAAGATTTCAATAAACTCAAGAGATTTGGCTTGACTCCAACTTACTTATGTGATTACTGGACTTTACAAAGCTTTCCATTGTTCAGCTTCAAAACCCACAGGAAATCTTAGAGAAAGGCCTAACGTTGGGAAAGGTAGAAGCAAAGAGAAGAGGTGACCAACAATAAGCTGGATGGACTTGATTACAGAGGAGATGGGCGAACCATTTCTTGACCTATGTCTTCAAATCCAAAATATAGTATCTTGTCTTGCCACCTGGATACATGGTGCCACCTGGCATATTTTCCCCTGCAACATTAAAGATAAAAAGGAGAGACACTGACTATATTTGTTCTCATCCATGGCCTATATACACTTAGTCCTCCACTTACGACTACAAGTGAGCCCAAAATTTCTGTGGTTAAGCAAGACAGTTGTTAAGTGAGTTTTGCCCCATTTTATGACCTTTCTTGCCACAGTTGTTAAAAGTGAATTACTGCAGTTGTTAAGTTAATAACACAGTTGTTAAGTGAATCCAGCTTCCCCATTGATTATGCTTGACCACATGATCCCCGGGACACTGCAACCGTCGTAAATATGAGTCAATTGCCAAGCACCTGCATTTTGATCACATGGCCATGGGGATGCTGCAACAGTCGTTAAGTGTGAAAAACGATCATAAGTCACTTTTTTTAGTGCTGTTGTAACTTTGAACGGTCACTAAACAAACTGTTGGAAGTCGAGGACTACCTGTATTGTATTCCTTCTTAGTCTGATCCATCTTAACATCTTATGCCTGGCTTCCAAGGTTTTCACGCAAAAAAACCAGAAGGCTGGAAGTAATGAGAGGAAAATGAACAAACCTAATTTTGCATTCCCACAG